ATAACTACACAGGCATATTGCATCGGCTATGGTAAGCACAGTGAGAGAATTGAGAGCAAACGTCAGAATCAGCAGTAGCAGAATATTGAGCTCACCGTCGTTCGTGCTCTCCTTTAGATTTTGAAATACGTGAATTGGCTATCATCTCTATTTTCCCTTTCAAAAGTGTTCGTGTCACCTCAGAACATGACTGTAAACGTTGATACATCTGAGCGGACCATGAGAGGAATTTTGCAGACGACATAATTGTCGAGAATGGTAGTGACAAACTTATCTTTCGCCTTTGCTCACTTTTATAGATTTTTAAGGGAAAAAACTCTGACTCAGAAAGGGATTCCCCCATTAGCTATGCGTTACTAGTGATATTCATTGATAAAAAAGAGTTGACGTAAATCATATGTCATAAGCAGGTCCGTTTATTAAAACTCCGTCTTGCAGAATAAAAAAATATGCTATGATTCTTGATAAGTGTTCACATCCGCATTGAACCGATGTCTGCGAAAATGGAAGGTCATCTTTTTTTCCTACTTGGTATGTAACATCCTTCTGCGTCACTGTCAGGTTATCTACAGCACCATATCACTAATTATGGACTTGGCAAAAATAGTGGAATGGGCGGAGCCAAATGCTGCTGAAAATTTTACTCAAGCAGTTTACCGATTTAGCTGCTTTCGGACCAGAAGAAACGGAACTTGGTTCTAATGATACATGTGAAAGTCAGAGCTTTAAAAGCGGCACAGGAATAATGAGAGAAAATTCTTAACTAATTGCCAGTCGATTTGGAATCAGATTGTGGGATATTCTTCATGCTACGGTAAGCCGTGTGCGAAAGGTGGTCGCAGTTACCCTCCTGCTTCCAACGTAAAGATGTTCCATGCCGGTGAAGAGATTTGCGCTATTACCGACTTTTATTAACCTTATCTAGGCTTACATGTGCTAATAGAGCGTACTTTTAGATTTGAACTTATAAAATGCGCCGAAATATCAATTTGATAATAGAGGTACCCACGTGGTCATGTTATCGAGTTAAGCTGTGAAAAAAGCGAGTTGTGAAGTAATTCAGTGAACACATTCGTCCACCTAACTGATAAGGCAAATAGCAACGATGGCTCAAACGACGTTACAAAGAGAAAAACATACAGCAACCCAGTCACGGAATAATGAAAACAAACTCTGTTGTCAATTTACATGTTTATAATTAGTTGAGCTAAAAGAACTCCGAGAAGACGGGGTGTAAGCTTTCACCACAAAAAAGGATGCTTCTTGAAATATCATAGTATTTTAACGTTACCTGCTAAGCCACTCTTTTGGTCGACCTTGTGAGTGCTTGTAGTGATCTCCAGCGAATGTGGTAGCATCATGAGCAAGAAGGAATGGCTCCACCAGTTTCAATGTGTCCGATTTCATCACTGCTGATTCGAATTCCTAGAAATATCAAAATCTCAATTTAGCTGTCTCGCAAATTTCGAAGGCAGAAGTTAGGTTAGCTTCAAGGGCTTTTTTGCGATGCATTAAACGAAAATCAGATTCTCAAAAACCTATATTATTAGCTCTAATAATCTTTTCCACTCTATTTATGGCAAGATTGTATGGCACATGATATATTGTTATCAAAGTTCAACATAATTCTAAGACAGTTGTTGGAATTTTATATATTAGTGCAGAAGCTAGTGAAAGTTCGATTTAAAGGGGAATTTAAAATAAAAAGTCATGGAAATCTCTTTTGTTAAATTATTTGCGCAAATTGCAATCACAGATTCATTACTTTCAAGATGCTCCGTTGTAGAGATACGTGAGCAATGACGTAATTTTCATCTACAACAGAAAAGCACCGGTGAAATTTGTGATCCCAAAGCGTTCATTGTTCCAACTATCAATATCCACGAGATTTAATGTAGCTTAATTTAGAGTTTTATTAGTGAGAGAGTTTTCTTGATTAGGGAGCAAATTAATGTTCATCGTCGTGAATCAGTCGAAGGAAAATGATAGCGCAAAAGGATATAGTGATCACCTAATTGGTATTCGGCATAAAGTTATAATGGGCGATGAAACTGAATGAAATAGAATGAAAAGTAGAACACAATTGAGCTAATTCAAAAGGCAACAATTTCTAAGAGTTTGAATAATAAGAATGTGTACGTACAAGTGTGTAAATCAAATTAACCGCGATCACTTTATAGTAGATTTCTTTCTAATTCAAATAGTTGTATTAAAAAGTCAGGAGAATATATGAAAAAGTGCAATACTAAAAGTAGCTTACTTTTATGCTTGCCAACATACAGATGGCTAAGCTGGCATAATACCGAGTAAGGTCATCATCCTGATTAACGAGGAGAAAAAGCCATTCGGGAAGCTAAAAAGAAAAAAGTTGTAAAACCGATTAAGCTCATGAAAGAACTACAGAGATGTCTGGAAACTGGCCTTCTTTTGTATCAACTTCTTCTTTCCCTCGGAACA